TTGAATAATTTGCCCTCCTACTTTGAAGTCACCGAGCCCATCCAGAGCTCTCCTTGGTAAGGATTCGCTGTATGAGTTGAACAGAATTGGTGATAAACAGCATCCTTGTCGAACTCCTCTTCCAATCTGCACACTTCTTGTCTCCCCTCTGTTCAGTCGTACTCTAACTTTCTGATCCATGTACAATTTGCTAATCAATCTTCTTTCACGCCAATCGATACCTGTTTCTTTCAGGATCTGCATTAATTTGGTCCAGTTTACCCGGTCAAATGCCTTCTGCCAGTCTATGAAGCAAACACACAGTTCTTCATCTATCTCCAAAGTTCGTTCCGCTATAATTCTCATCATCCCAATTGCATCCCTGGTTCCTTTTCCTCTTCTAAATCCAAACTGATCTTCTCCAAGTACATCCTCTATTTTCCTTTCAATTCTTCTTTTAAGTATCTTTGCTATTATCTTTGCTGTATGTGCAATAAGACTTATTGTGCGATGGTCGCTGCATTTTGTAGCTTTTGTCTTTTTCTTTAAGGCAATCATTGTAACTTCTGTAAAGTCCTTGGGCCACTCTCCACTTTCATATATGGTGTTCATTAGTTTTGTCAGTGTTTTCAAACCACCTTCTCCCAGTAACTTGAGCACATCTCCAGGTACATCATCATCTCCTGTAGCCTTTCCCTTCCTCATTTCCTTGATAGCTTTTTCCACCTCACTTTGTAAAATATATGGTCCTTTCTCGTCTGTATCTACTTCTTCTTCCGGTTCAACTTCTAAGGTTTCTGGCCGATTAGGTCGATCATATAGTTCTGTAATATAATTTTCCCAAATTTTCAGCACTTGCCTCTGATCTACTATTCTATTCCCCTGGGAGTCTTCGATGCCAACATTTTGAATCCCATGATTCTCTTTCCATCCTAGTTCTTTTGTCTTCATGTACATCAAATCATAACGGCCTGTTCTTTGAAATTCTATAATCTCATTACATATCTTCTCAAGATATTCCTTTTTGGCCCTGTCCGTGGCTCTTTTCAATTCATTCCTCAGTCTCCTGTATTTCCTCCTGCCTTCTTCATTGTTGACATTCTTCCATTTCCTTCGCTCCTCCCTTTTACTCATCATCTCCTGTGTAACCCATGGGTTTCTTGCTATTTTCTCAACTTTACCAACCAAATCACTGATAGTATCTAACATGCATTCTTTTATATTGTTCCACTGCACTTCAGCATTTCCGCTTTCACCTTCAATTGCACCGAGTTTCTCTTCTAGGGTCTCTTGCACGCTTTGTCTTTGAGCATATAACTTCTCCAAATCCCATCTAGCTCTGCGCTTTTGAAATCTTATAATTTTCTTCAACTTGGTTCGGAACTTGACAACCAGTAAGTTGTGGTCAGAGTCAATATCTGCCCCAGGCAGCGTCTTCACATCACTTTGTCCACCACAAATCCCACTTGACCAGACACCGCCTTCGCGGTGGGAAGCCAGCGACTAACCGCTTGAGCTATGACGGCCCCTATTATACTTATGTATAAATTTTGGAAGTGTTATATTCCGCATGTATTTTCAGATCAAAATATTGCACGCATTTCTTATTTCCTGTACATATACGTCTCGCCCATCACATACGTTTTATCACCCCCCCCCAAATATTAACTGTAATTTATGTAACTCCCCGTGATGTAATTCTCTCCAACCCTCATCCTTATTATCAAAGTATCCGTCAAGAATGCAACAATTTAAAACTTTGTCTGTTATATTGTTGCATTATTGACGTATACTTTAATAATAAGGATAATGCCTCAATGCAACGGGATGCTGAAATATAATAATAAAATAATGTAAACTCCAAGCCTGTTACTTCAATATTTCTCAGCACCAATATTCTTTTCTCATTTTATGTTGTTTATTTTAAAACGCTATAAGCATCTCGGATTATATAGAGGAAAATCACGAGAAACGTCAGTCAGGAGATTCGAAAGGAACAGCCCCCAAATAGAAGTCTTAGAGCCTTAACCGCTACACCAACCCGCTCAGCAAACTTCTCCGACGATTCTAGACGAACTTTTGCCCAGTTTAACTTTGTTGACTTCGAATGCTACAGCCCTCCGGTTCGTGACGTAATCAGGTCTACCAGCATTCTGAGAAACTTGCCGCTTCCATCTTCAGAGTAGCAGAGGTGGCAGGCTTCTCAGATACATTGGGGCTTGTCTACCAAACTGCGCTGCTCAACCTGGTTAATTATGGTTTCTTGCTTGGGGAGTATTCTCCCATCCTGAAGATGGTTGGGATGCGTTCCTAAGAAACGTTGATGGATTTCTACCAAACTACACGGCGTTACAACCCTACAGATCGTACTCTTCAAGATTCATGAACTTATATGCAAGGGTAATGAGCGCCGGTCGGATTTTCACAAACGACAAAAATTTAGGTGAACAATTTCGTAAAGGACGTAACCTAACCCGATCATCGTGGCCACATGTGCAAGTTAAACGCTGTTTTGAAAACCTTAACATCGGAATCTCTGGTTCAAATCCTTTTTCCAGCAGGGTTATGTTCTTTCTGTGTTCTGTGCATAAATATAATCGTTATAACTTCCTGATCCCCCATCGAAGGAGCCCTACCGAATAAGTTACTGTACTCAAATGTATGAAATATAAATACGCGTAAAATTTTTGTAAGATCTGACGCAAAGACCGGAGTCTTTATACAGATACGTGTAACATCACAATGGATCTTCGAGAAATACGTTGTGAGGGTGTGGACTGGATTTAACTGGCTCAGAATAGGAACCTGTGGCGGGCTGTTTTGAATAAGGTAATGGAGCCGCGGGTTTCACAAAGATGCAGAATTTCTTGATTGACTGAGCATTTACTGGTTTCCCAACCGGGTTTCTGTTCCATAGGCTTAGTTACTGCTCCAAGAAGGAATGTGCTGAAAAGTTGGAGGTGTATGTAATTCTCTTCAATCGTATTTTGGGGGGTTGTCGGTTCCAATTTCAGCAGGGACAACGGTGTCCTGAGGCTCTCAGTGGGGTTCCTCATTCAACCCAGGTAAATGCTGGGCTAGCACCTCGACTGGGTTACGGCTGTTTCCATCTAAATACTTTCCAAACATTAATCTTCGCATCTTTCGACTCCGTATAGTCCAGTAACTGACGGCACGGTAAAATATCCCACTTCTATGTACATAAGAAAGAACAGGCCTGTGTGCTATCACGTGATGGAGTGATTATAGGCGGAGTTTGGATTGGTAATCGGATTTATTAGACACTTAACGC